AATGCTGCAAACGACGCAATCCCGGGCTAGCTAGAGAATGATCCATACAAATTTTTGGTTGGTACATGAACTTAATACGAACCTCACAAAAAGTTTCTGAAATTTCAATTACGAGTTAACGAGTTAAACACCTAAATGGTCGAGCACTACTTTAAGTTAAAGAGCCGTCCAAAATTCAATTTGTAAAGCATTCAAAGCTGCCTTCTTGGAAAATGCTGCAAACGACGCAATCCTGGCCTAGCTAGAGAATGATCCATACAAATTTTTGGTTGGTACATGAACTTAATACGAACCTCACAAGAAGTTTTTGAAATTCCAATTATAAGTTAAAGAGTTAAACACTTAGTTGGTCGAGCACTACTTTAAGTTAAAGAACCGTCCAAAATTCAATTTGGAAAATTTTGTAGCATTTTATAAAGATCGATGACCAATCGAGTTTTTAACACTTAGAACCCCTTTTTTGTTAATTATAATAAAAGGGTTCCACTTAATTGGTTTGCTATTGGAATAGTCGACAAAAAAAGATTTCATGCAACTTTTACACCTTTACCTAACTCAATTCAGATTTGGTGATCAGATCATTGTCGGCAATAGGAAATAAAAAGAGAGAAAGAGAGATGAAAAAGATTGGATAGACAGGGATTTTGATGGTGGTTCGCATTTTATTTTTCAAATTTCTTAGTCTAATTAGGAAAAGTTGTAAAGGGTATTCTTTAAACGTGGTAAGACCATCAGATATATATATATTACTACATCCACAACACTCTGTAATCACAAAGAGTCTCTTAATCTCTCTCTAAACTGCAAAAAATTCCGAGGTTTGGTTTTGTTCGAGTTCATAGAGTTGGGAAACTGCCCACAAAGTCAATTTGGAGGATGAAAGGAAAGGTGCGTTAGGATGTGCCTGGCTCCCTGTATGCCACATGATGACACTATTCCAACGGTGGGATTAGTTGTAACAAGTGGCGTACAAGGAGCCAAGCATATCAAAATCCATCACTATTCTCTTTATTTGTGTATACATATGTTGTTTATATCTATGTCGGATTCAGGCAAGCAAGCTAATCGTGCAAAATTAACAAAAATTAAAACCCTCAGAAATTAAATTTGTTTAATATGGAGAAATTAATTGCAAAGATCTCGTAATCAATACACAAGTGGAATGAGCAGACCAAAATTAATACGACATGTTTTTGATATATGCAAAGGATTTAGTTGTATTGAACTCTAATTTTTCTATGTTATTATTTTATCAGATAATTATCAAAATTAGTACTGTTATTCTTGAATTGCTTACTTTCGTGTTTCTTTGGTGCATCTCAAGTGTTGCTGCTTTTTTTTTTTAATTCTAAGTATATTTTTCAGTATTAGATCAACTCAAAATACTTAAATAAGATTTTAGCTTCATTTTGTTTATTAATACTCCGAACATTTTGATCAGAGTTTGTACCATTTTTAGCATTAGCCTTTGTTTGACAAAATTTTTTCACATTAAAAGTTGCAGATCCAATAAAATTTGACCAACTTAAAATATGAAAATATATATATATATTTAAAGAACTACACCAAAAGAGAGTTAAATGTTACATGCTTTAACCGACTTTTCAACTCCTTCCTCCAGCGACACAAAACAAATTGGTATAAGAGCCAAAACGAGTTCATACCCCTTTATCGAGATCGGCTATCGCCCTAGTCAGTAGGATTTGTGTATAATCGTAGCTACCAATTTCGAGCCCGGGTTAGAGGGTTAATTGTCTTTGGCTTATTCTGGTGCACATCTTGTTTTATGCTATTACTTCGGCTCTATCTCTCCTCCTGTTAAAAGGCTGCAACCCGGTCCTTGAAAACTTAAGCATGTTGAAGGCAAATCAAGAATCTGAGCTAGCAATTTTATTTTTATTTTTTTACTGCTCAGGAGCTAGCAATTGTTTTCTAATTTACTCGTCAAAATTTGGTCATCCCTAAAATATAGACGTATGGCTTTAAAAGACCAAAAATGCGAGTGGGCTAACTTAGTTGATAAGTAGAAGCATTAGTGACCCATACAGTACAAGCACAATGAATAGTGGGCTGAAGATTGTTTACTCGTTATGTAGTGGGCTTTTGGTATTTGTACAA